GAACCCAATATAAGTCAGGATTGTCAACGCCTTGTGGTCATTGGCAGTTCTTGACTGTGATTCTCGTTTATAAGTTGCTGTAAAGTTCGTACAGACCATGATTGTTCCATTTCTCCACGTATAGGTACCATGTTCATACAAATGACCTGAAGCCTTGTGTAACACTGATCGATTAAGGAAAATGGTATACTCGTGTTTCTGTAGAAAGATGTACATGCCAGAACAATTGGCTGATGGCATGTGTCTACATACAACGATCTGTCCCACTGGTACTTGTTTTCCCTTGATTATTGTCAGATTGGATGTAAAATAATCCCTCACGCGCAACACTTCGCCCGTTTTGTTTATGTAAACAGATACCTCGGTACCTGGAATGACATGATATTCATAAGATAAATAGGTGTCTGTCTGGACACATGTTAGGGGTTTGGTAGTAACTTTCATGACAATGTAAGTGTCGTCACCAATTTGCAGCTCGAAAGGTTTAAAGGATTTGAACAACAAAGTTATATTGTTATCTTGATTGAACTGCCTTTTTTTGCTATAATTTGTGATGTCCATCTTAAACTCAGCTTTGTACAGGTACTCATTCATATCAATTAAGTCGAGCCTAATTGATGTTAATCTTGTAGAGTTTAGACATAAAGCTGATGCAAAATATTTTCGAAATTTAAAAGTATCAATTAGAAAATGAAAGGGTTTATAATTTCTAACAATTTTCATCCACAACGCCACTTTATATATTTCCGACCTCGACTGCAATGGAACCATGGTTTCGCCTAGGCGACAGATTTCAAGATAAACGTCATAAACGTTTCCTCGTGGGCAAGATGTCATTCCTGACCCTTCGCCTGCCTTTGATGATTTCCCTCCAATATCCATAACGACAGAAAATGGTCGTGCAGAACCTGGCGCAAAATGTACTTCATCCTTTGCCACAAATGGTAAACTCGTTGGGCCACATTCCATCGTGAGTACGTTATTACACCACCCACAATAAGCATTTTTATACATGATTTTGGTAACTGGCATATAAACAAGACCGTAACGTCCATCTGAACATTTGGTTTTGATCTCGTTTGGCAATGAGAGATTAGTACACTTTGACTCAGACTCAAAACAATATCGTTTGGGTAATTCTTCTTTAATTTTGGGCGAAGGATTCCTACAAAAATCAAAAAGAAATTTCATTGTGTTCTCTTTTATTGCTTGACTTGATGGAGCCACCAAACATTGAAACTCTAATTTATAGAGTTCCACGATAGTTTGCATGATTTGTCCATGGCACTGAGCACAGAATCGGTTTGCATAGGTTTTGTTGTCGGCTGTAACTACTGGAAGAACATCTTTGTAATTATCAGCAGTCATAGCGGATCTCTTATTGATACATGACTGGTTGATATCTTGGTTGGTCCAGCTTTGTGGACATGAAGCAATCATCCAGATACCAGACCTGCATGTCCATTGTTCTTCTGGTACTTTCATGTCTGTTTTAGTGGTGTTGCTTGATCGCTGTAGAAGACAGTATTGGACATAGTCTGCACAACAATCCTTGAAATAATCACAATACGGGTCACATGAACAGCGTAGTTTTTGTGTTCCTCCTGGATCTCGTTCATTCGTACATCTGTCCTTGCATGATAGAAGTGGAGAAGTACATTCTTTGATAACTGGCCGTACTGAGTATGAAAAATTATTTCTACGCTTTCTTACTCCCAAATGATTTGCCTGTTTTACTCGGGCATTAATGTCCACGAATTTGTTGTTTAAACAGCCAATATGACTTGAATTCAAAGAACGTCTTTCTGAGAAAATTAAACGAAACAATCTTGGCAGCTTGAGATTTCGTTTTCCTTRAAAGGAAAGGTAAAAGGAAAGGTTTGTTTTCAACAAATCCATGCTAGTCCTTTCTATTTCTTTGTTCTTGCTCGTCTTCATTTTCCACGAATCTTTTGTTTGTTTTGCCGCCATTATCGGATTATATATATTATTCACAGCTGTTTTTATATTCACCTGATCATAACCTTGTTTAACATGGTGACAAAAAAGAAGTGTAGCAAAACAAATCATTAATATAGTTTTCATTTCTGTAATTTCCCGCAGTCGACGTCGTCTCTGGAGAAAATCAAGGAATCTTTCGCGTCAACTGGGTAAGCCACCTGAGTTAACAACAGAAGAGTGAGAGAAACTGAACTGCTTAACCATAAAAGTGACAGACCAATTAGCTTTTTCATTCAGTATGATGATATTAGAAAGTGCAATAATGCATGAATGGTCAATGATGACTGGTTTGGTTGACCAAGCATCAAGGTTAATAGCTGCAGAAAACCCCTAAAACATCTGGTCACCTTTTTGTTCAGTCACGTTATTAAATAATTGTCCAGCATATACAGTTTCTTTAATTATTATTAATTTTTCTTCAGCCACCCGAAGCACTGACTATTAATATTTATTATTTATTTATTTATTTATAATAATATAAATGCTCTTTTGTGCATTTATTTGGTTAACGCCAATCACCARCCATTATGCCTGCCTTAAATTTAAGAAAATTTTTAATTTTTTATAAATAAAGCTTTTAAGAGTTTTTTCTCTTTTCTGTTGATTCTTACCAATTTTGGGATTTTAATATCGCGAGTATACTTTTGCTCAGACCAAGATACTGTATTAACCACAAACACAATATGAAAGAATTAGCCTTAAGTTTCAAGCATGGACAATAAGTTTTGGCATTTTGTGAAGTCCAATTTATCAGGCATGTTTGAAAGTCAAATTTACAAATGTTTTGACTAATTTACATACGGATTCAGAGCATGCGCAGCCGTTTTTCACTCGTGTCGTATCGTTATATAGCTACGAAATTTTTCCGGTATAACGAACCCTCTCATTGGTTTAAAGATCAGATTACCACGTGACAATAGCTAAATCTAAATGTATCCCGACCGGAAAATGAGTAACTTATTTCCCGGTCAGGACTTTCATTGGGAAAAAGGATTCGGAATACGAAAAAAACGGCTAAAAAGCTATTGCTACTTTCTTTGCTTTTTGGTAGAGAAATACAAGACCGTATGCGAGTTGTATATTTGTAAAATCATTTGTCAGTTTTCATGCATTTAAAAACTTGTTAAATAAAGTCCTTATTTCGTAAACTGACTTCTCAATATTTCTCAATTGCTATATAACAAAACATTTAATGTCTGGTCCCTTGGGATATTAGTAAGTTTTGTTTTCCCGACAGTTTTCTTGGCCGTTGGCCTCGGGAAACATCGAGACTCTCGGAAAAACAAGACTAACTATTTCCCTCGCGACCAGACATTAAATATATAATGTAAAATTTGCAAATACCCCTTTCTTCTGTCTGCATCAAAAAGTGACCTTCTCCTTTAAATTTGTTGAATTCTCGTCCCTCCCCATCATTTAGTATGAAATATTTGGTGACCCCCCTCTTTGACTGAGTACAAATTTAATGGCCCTTCCCTTTGATTTCCCCGGCCCACCCACCCCACCTTACGCTATCCCCCACCCCCTAAAAAACGAATGCTCCCTAAGAGATTTTATTTTGTTGATTCTTACCATATTTGGGTTTTTAGTTTTGAGCTATAGCTTTCCAGCTCAATTTACTCAATGCAATACAACACAGACAGAGGCATTGCTACCTTACAAGAGGGCGCAGAAGGGGACTATGTTATCTAGCTGAATAGCTGATATGTGAGTTTTAAGTAGAAAAATAGCTACTTAAAAATGGAAGGGAAAACTAATAAATTACACACAAAAATTATTCTAATCATTTATAAGCAAAGAAGTTTTCTTTTCAAATTACGGTTAGATTTGTTAAGCTCTTTTAAAGTATTCGTATATATAATACTGTTACAAATCAGTCTTGGGTCTCACGAGGCGAATATTAAATTTTCAATATAACTTGTGTAAGAACCAATTACGGGCCATAATTGGTTCTTACACAAGTTAATATTCATGGAAAAACAGAAGGCCGTTAGTGATTGTGTGGTTTCCACCGTAGACGATACTAAGAACGGCTGCTGGTTAGACTGAGTGATTGTGGTAATCATGCATTAATAAACTGACCATAAGTATAAAAAGGTCTGTTAATTTTAACATATTGAGTGATAAAAAGAAGAGGGCTTGAATGGATATAAAGTAATAATTCTAACTTCCCTTTTTTTTTTGGCACATTATATTATCACCCGCCCCCTATCAAATGTCTTTTAAAAATGACGAGCCCAGCGCACCTGGCTAATGAGAGCTTATTATTCCTTAGTTTTTTTCCATTATACGTGAAACAAGGTTTCTTAGTTCGGAAGTTCGGTTCATATAGCACCTATTCTTCTTTACATTTTCATATATAGACTGCTGGATACCATGCTGAACTCAAGCTTAAGTTTTTGTCGATACAGAAGACAAGATATTTTACAGCATTGTCACTAAAAGAAATAACTTATTTGGATAAGTTGATTTTTTTTTGTTTTTTTTTTGTTTTTTTTGTTTTTGTTTTTTTGTGGCCGAACTAAAACCACAAAGTTATTTTTATCAATTGGCTGGAACAGTTGCAGTCAGGATTCATTGATCTTTATTATAAAAGTTTTGTGTCTGTAAACTAAAAGTTGGTAGACGATTCGGCTATTTCTTTAGACTTCTTCAGTAAAAGTTGAATGTTATTTTAGCTTATACTGAAGATAGCTAAGGAACTAGCAGAATGCCTACAAATTTGTAATTAAGTCAGCGAAAAAACTTTTATAATGTAGTTTTATAATCAGATAGCCAACTATTAACATGACGTAGATTTGTATTTGCTAGTGATTCAAGGTAAGTCTTATGGGAACAGAATAACTTAAATTGAATTGGAGTCATCTTGAAAACTGCCTGAGGTGAAAATCAAAGAAAAAAGAGCAAGTTGTAAAAATTCATTAATGTATACAGTAAACGAAATAGGGCCTCTAGCACACATCCTTGGGCTACCTCAAATGCAGTATACTGCAATTTGATCTACTGTTTTTATAAAATGATCGCACTCTTCTGGTAAGCTGAGCAAATGGTACATTGGCATATACGAAGACCTTACAATGTACTAAGTAACATAAATATCTYGTTATTTACAACTTCGTTTGTCCAGTTTCACAGGCTTCATTTGCATTTGACGATGCCCTTTTGCTTCTCTTTGATCTACTGTTTCTGTACAAAGCTCGCACTCTTCTGGTAAAACCAAATGCTACAGCAATATATAGCCCTTGCAATGTATTAAGTAACACAAATGGGTACATC